TGTGCTAGGTGACCATTGATGACCAGGACATGCCCCCTCCCCATTCACCTTGTTCTCCTCCCGTGACTTTCTTAGTGCCACACAGAACCCAGGGAGCCTCCAACAGACAAACCAAGGCAGCCGGGCCACATGTAGGAGCACCACACAGTGCCCTGAGAAAGGGGCTGCTTCCCCTGCGGGCCACACAGTAGGAGACCATGCAAGCCACATATTTCTTCCTTCCTTAAGTCCTGATAACTCTCCATATTTTTTTATTAAGTCTTAGGTTTCTTCTAGCTCTGTACAGCCTTGAAATCACAGATCCTCCTCATTACCAATTGCTAGTAAAAGAAACTCTGGACAAATAAGGCCGAGTGGGTGGCTATTGATGCTGATGCATGGAGGAGACAGAATTCTAAATATCAAGTTTAGATTATCTAAATATCAAATTCTAAATGTCAAAACCCTTTGGAGGAGACCTGTTAAAGTTGAAGGCTAAAATGTTTCAGAGATAAAATCCTGCTGTACATTTATTAACCAGAGAAGTAGCATGGAAGATTCTCTGGAAGACACCCCCGTTAAACATCTGGGTTTCCAAAAGCTAATGGCATCTCACAGAACACAACCATTGATCTCAAATGCTCCATGCTAATCGATTGTCTTGGATCACTGACTCAAATTAGCGTCTATAACTCCTAAATGTATAAAAATATTTTTAGGTTGATAAGGATCTCAAACACCTATGTATTCTCTCTTCTGTCTTTGGTCAAAAGAAAATTTAAGAAATGGATGCTCTGGTAGATAGGTGACCTCATTGAAACAATGCACGTGAAAGCATTGCCATATCAAGCCTGGTGCTTTTCTTCTTGTCAATTCCTAAAGAAATTCTATTCAGGACAGAAAGCATATTGAAATAAAAAGGGAATTCCACCCAATTTAGATAATGCCAGAATCATTGGGACTAGGGCCCTTGCTGAGAGAGAAAAAAAAAAAACGCCATCTCAAGGTGTGAGAAGGGAAGAATGCATGGTGCACATGGGTGCCAGCGAGAGGGGCACTGAGCAGGGATCGATAGTAAAGGTGCCTTGGGGAGCTCAAGGCAAATCAATATATTACAGTGTGGTGGGATTCACCATTCATGTCCCACTCCTTCCAGAATCCATCCTTTGAGCCAGTCTTCCTCTGGAGGGAGTGGGGGTCACTACTGGCATTTCGGGGAAGGATGATTCTTTGTTGTGTGGGACTATCCTGTACCATGTAGGATATTTACATCCTTGATCCCACTCACTAAATGCAAGTAGCACTTTCCAGTCACTGACATAAAAATGATTAGAGTAGACACTACTGTCCTCAGTTGAGAGCCCTACAATTCTGGGCTATATCAACAGGTAGAATAAGGAGGTGGGGTGGGGGAGTCTTGGACACAGCCGAGAAGAGGCACCACTGAGCAGGAACTGACAGAGTTATCAAAGATCCATCATTCTGTCCACGAGTAGGTGCATCAGGAAAAGAAGTAATTAACTTTATATACTGGCCAAGAAGCAGTGACATCCAGAAGGCCACAATAGCTACATGATTAGCGAGATGGCCTTGTACTTGGTTGTAAAGCAAATCTTAAAAGTAAATCAGACTGAAATGAACTGGAGGCAGTGTTCGAAAGAACTGACGCAGTAAATGACTCAACCCACATTGTCATCGCTCTTCCGGAAAGGGGAGGGAGGGGTACTTTGAAGATGAGTTGCAGTCTGCTTGACGTTTGTATGAAAAATAGAGCAGACTGGCTAGTTTTTTAGGATCTTTTGTGGATACAGAATTTCAAAAATTAAATGAAATATAAAGATGAAACTCAGATGAAAATTTAAAATCCTGCATATCAGAGTTACTGACCAGTTCCTTAATGAGTACATGCCCTGCTACTTGGCGTGTTCTGTGTAAGTGGCTGCCTCGGGTGGGCAGTTTCAGGAATTCTCCAGCTTTCCCAGCATTACTGCTGAGTATCTCCCTTCTCTCTTCCACTCTTCTCATTGACCCTTCTCAGCCCCTGTCTCCCTGTCTTGCCACCCCAGGACCAGATCATCTGTGAAGAAGGTGGGAAGGAACACCGCTTCCTGCCATTGTAAGACCCCTTCCCTTCTCCCTTCTCTCCCTGGCTCTCTCAGAGCAGTACCATTTGTCAAGCCCTGAGCTAAGGCTTTGTTTGTTTGTTTTAATATTAAAGTAGGCCACCAAAGGAAATTTTAACAATTATCCCTTCAAAGGTTTATTTCATTTTTTTCTTGGAATAATATCAAACTCATAGAAAAACTGCAAGTACAATATAGATAAGTTTTTTTCATGGATTATTTGAGAGTGAGTTGCCAACCAGATTCTCACCACCCCTGGTTTTCCCAGAAACAAGGACGTTCTCCTTCATAACCCAATGAAACCATCAAAATCAGGAAATTAAAAGCGATTGAATCCTCAGACATCTATTCCTCAGACCCATTCAAGGGTCCCAACAATGTTCTTTATAGCAAAAACGATCCACTTGAAAATCACATGTGCGTTTAGTTGTCGTGTCTCTCTAGTCTCCTTCAGTCTGGAAGAGTTGCTCAGTCTTTTTTTGGTTTTCATGACCTTGGCCCTTCTGAAGAGCGCAGGCCAGTCACTTTGTAGAATGTCCCTCGATTTGGTTTTGTCTGACTCTTCCTCATGATTGGGTTCAGGTGACGCACCTTTGGCAAGGCTATCAGCGAAGTGGTGCGGGTCTTCCTGTTGCATCTATCTGGTCAGGTGGCACGTGATCTCTATTTGTCCCATTACTGATGGTGCTCACTCAGATCACTTGATTAAGGTGATATTTGCCAGGCTTCTCCACTGTAAAGTTATTCTTTTCCCCTTTGTAATTAGTAAGTATTTTAGAGGGAAGTACTCTGAGACTGTAAATATTCTGTTCCTCATTAAACTTTTAACTCTTTTGTGGATTTGCAGTTTTCTGTTTTAATAAACGGGTTATAATCTGTTACTCTCGTTATTTGTTTTGATGATCAAGTTGTTCTAGCTTTGGCCAGGGGATCCCTTTCGAGCTGGCTCTCCTCCCCGTAGGTGCTTTGTTGTTAGGCTAATTGTGTGTTGAATCAATGAATGCTTGTCCCTGTGGGGCCTACATGTGTTGCACAGAACGTCTGTCCACATTTTTTTGAATGCTCTAATGCTTTGGATTATCTACTTCTCTGTTCCCTGTGTTACCATTGACGTTCTAGAAGAGAGATCTCTTAGTAAAACTCCTGCTTTGTAGATAAGGAAGCTGAAGCTCAGAAAGGTGGTATGACTTGTTCAAGGTGACATATCTAGCTGGGAGCAAAACTAGAGTCAAAACTCCAAGTCTCAGCTCCTTTTCCAAAACTCCACTCACTGCATCATGCACTCTCTTCATCATTAGCAAGCACAAATATTTTTATTATAACTACTAATTGAGTTTGCAAGGAGGATGTGGAATTAAAGCTGATAATTTATTAAAGCTTATATCAGAGCAAAAAAAGGAAAATACGCTATTTTCACTTAAAGTATAAATTTTAAAGAATAAAACTGGTGGCTATATAAGGAATTCTGCAACTTACAAATTAATTATTTGTGTAAAACCTTTTCTAGAACACATTGATAGGAAAGTTCTTTGTTTCAAAAGACCTAAGAGATTCCTACGTTAAGGATTAGGGTGCCCAGACAGGTGCAGAAAGTTAGAGCAAGAACAAGGATTTTGCTCCAGTTCTGGTTTCTTATAGTCTATCATTAAATCACTTTGTTTATTTGTTACTCCGCCTTAAAAAAAAACAAAGATGGTGCTTTTCATTTGGAGATAAAGAGTCTATTGGATTATAGTAGGGAGTAGAGGAAGAATATATCTGAACTATGTGAATGCCCAGAACTGTCTGCATTTGGGGTCCTCCCCGTGTTCGTGCCACAAATCCCTTTGGCGTCTGGTGAAGCCCATCAACCTCTTCTCAGAACAAAATTTTTAAATCCATAAAGCGGAATATACAGGATTATCAATGAAAAAATATTGAAATGTCTTTATTGAAATATCTAAAGAACAAATGTATGATATTGTAATGAATATATGCTTTTTAAATTAATGCTTAAATAATAAGATCCAGTGTCAGGAGTAATAACTATGGTGATTTCGAGGTAGTGTATCTTAGTCTACTTGGGCTGCCATAACCAAACGCCATAAACTAGGTGGTGTAAACCACAGAAGTTTACGTTCTCACGGTTCTGGAGGCTGGAAGCCTAGATCAGGGTGCCAGCGTGGCTGGGTTCTGGTGAGGACTATTCTTGGCTTACAGACAGCTGGCTGCTCTCCGTGTCCTCGCACGGCCTCTCCCTAGTGTGTGCACATGGAGAGAGATATCTTTTCCTCTTCTTATAAGGTCACCAATCCTCTCCTGTTAAGGTCCCACCCTTATGACTTCATTTAACCTTAATAGCCTCCTAAAAACCCCATCTCCAAATATAGTCACATTAGGGATTAGGGCTTCAATGTATGAATTTTGGAGAAACACAGTTCAGTCCGTAGCATAGTGATAGGCATAAATGATATTTCAAAACATCTGCCACAAACTATAATGTGATATGAAAATTCCTGTGATCTCTTGATGACAAAAATCACAGGTGCTGCTGCTAAGAGGCTCCTTGCCTACATTCATCATGGAAGAAAATGCGTAATTTCAGGTAGATGTTAGTGAAAATAAAGATAGGATTTTTTTTTTCCATCCAAGTTCACAGCCACCCTGAGCAAGGTCCTATTCAAGGACCCCAGGTTAAGAACCCCTGAAACATGCCAGTAAGATGTTCTTGTTTTGTGCAAACAAGTAGCATAACCCCAGGGTGATGGGAAAGATTCTGAAATCAGCTGATTCTGCCCGCTGCCGGTTTCCCAGGAGCAGTAACTATGTTGAATTGAAAAGAGACATGCTCTGCTCTTGGCTGGCTGTCTGATGTTTTTGAACGTGTGTTCGAGTATTGAAATATGTTTTCTCTTGCAGACAGCAGTAACTTCCATACTGCACAAGATGATTCCTGGACGTCTGAGAACTTCTGGCTTGACCCTTCTGTAAAGGGCCAGCTGGAGACCAAGGAAGAGGATGACGGACTGCGGCAATCCCTGGATAGATTCTACGAAATGTTTAGCCATCCACAGCCAGCCTTTGGAAATCCACTCTCCGCATCTGTCAGCCAGTGTCTGTCTCAGAAAATCAATGAACTGAAGGGCCAGGAGAACCAGAGGTATGCCCTCCGCAGTTTTCAAATGGCCCGGGTCATCCTCAATCGGGATGGCTGCTCAGTCTTACGGAAGCATTCCAGGGACGCCCACTTCTACGCACCAGGAGAAGGAAGTATGTCTCTAGAAGATGAAAAGCCAACACCAGGGCTTTCAAAAGATGTTCTTCATTTCCTCTTGCAGCAGAATGTGATGAAAGATCCATAACTGGTGCCTGGTGGTTAGAGCAGACACTATGGAGGGTGCACCACCCAGATCCCCTCAGGTCTCTCTTGCCAGCTCTGTGTGCCCAGCCCCCAGTGACCCAGTGCTGGAGGCAGTTGCGCCCATATGGAGAGCCAGCAGGGTCTGGGGGTTTTATAGCCCCCACGGTCACCCCACCTCCCACCCCTCTACCACTTCCTACCCTCTACCTACCCTCTACCACTGACCTAAGGCCAGTGACTGACTGGTTTGGGAGTCCAGAAGCCCACCTTCCTTGCCTCAAGGAAGACATGCTCTGAGGCATAATTTACTCCGCAGAGCTCCCCTCTGGATCAGGCCAAGGCTGGGACGTAACATGAAATCACACTCTTGCTTGGCTCCTTCCCTTTCCCTGTCCTCCTTCCCATCTTCACTTACTGGTGTCTCCTGGGAACCTTTCCTTAGTAGATCTCTTATACCTGAATCCTTGACTCAGGGTGTACTTGTGGGAGAACCCGACCTACAAGAACAGGCTTACATCAGATGAGTTTTTTGAAGAGTACAAAGCCTTATGCTGAATCACATACAAGAATTGTACCAGGTTGTAAAACTGAGACCATGTGATGGAGAACATATGTTCTAAAATAATATGAAGATTTAAATACAGATTCCGAAAGTACATCACATCTTAATCACAGCTTTCTCTCTCCAAAGCCAGAACACCCTATTTTGTAATACTAACTGGGTGTGGAAGGAACATTCGGACTCTAAAATAACAGCTAAGATCCACAAATTCTTAAAAAAAGGAAAGTCTCTTCATCTTCATCAGATTGCAAATGGGAAAGATGAGAAGAAAACAAATGTGCACCACCCCCAACGTATGCGTAAGCTCAATTGTGTGCTAGGCTGACACGACGCAGCCTTGTCAGTCTGTGGTAGAAGAGAAACAGCAATCTTCTGCCCAAGTCGACTCCTTCCTCGTTATTTTTGCCTTCTGCCTGCCTGCTGCCAGCACCCTGTGTCACCCTCTGAATGGTTGGCCCCTCGCCCCGATCCTGCTCTTGCTTCTGACACCCTGAGCTCCATCTGCAAACGTTTGCCGGGAACAGGTGCTCCTTGCCATCCTGCCCCTGCCCTTTAGGCCTGAGCTCTGCCTCGCCAGGGAGAGGCTTTAAATAGCCGGTGCCGGCTCGCACTGGCAGATGCTCTGCTCCCCGGCCGTGTCCTGAGCCCCCGTTTGAGACTCGGTTGGTAAGATGACATCACCTGGCACCAAGCTCTCTGAAACTGTGATTGGAGGCCTCGTACTCATCCTGACCTCGACAGTTCTTCAAACCAGTTACATTGACGGAAAGGGTTATAGCATTTGTTTGGGGGAGCAAGAAGAGAAGCTGGCAAGGCTGTGCAATTCGATTTTAAGAAACTTTAGGTGAAATTTAATTGGCATAAGACTCCATAAGCTTTCCAGAAAGCTGATTATGCAAATAGATCAGCCTATAAGTGTACATTAAGAGTGAGTGTGGGGGCCAGCCCCATGGCCGAGTGGTTAAGTTCGTGCACTCCTTCAGCGGCCCAGGGTTCGCTGGTTCGGATCCTGGGCACGCACCTACGCACCGCTCATCAAGCCATGCTGTGGCAGCATTCCACATAGAGGAACTAGAATGACTTGCAACTAGGATATACAACTACATACTGGGGCTTTGGGGAGAGAAAAAAAAAATAGGAAGATTGGCAACAGGTGTTAGCCCAGGGCCAATCTTCCTTAAAAAAAAGAAAAAAAAAAGAGCGAGTGTGCCCTCCCACACTGGTCTCTTGGGGACTCTTGGATGGCGAGATAAGCCTTTTAAAGGCCAGGCTTCCAGTTCTGGGAAGATCAGAGGTAAGAAACAGTGTTCCACGCTGAAGTGCAGAGGCACCGCCGGCAGGAGACCTGCATGGTAGGAAACAGGAAATGAGTGGGTCCTTGAGAGACACTTGAGAAAACAAGACTCCGGGTTTTCCTCTGACAAGCGATTGTCTGCGTCTTTCTCCATGAGCTTCTCCTATTCAGCTGGCCCCCAAATAATTGTGAAGCCAGGGAGACTTATAACTGAAAACCTACAGGTTGAATTTTAAGGTCACTAGTTTGATTGGTTTTTAATCTGAAGCAAATTAATAGATGCCCTTGGAGAATGCTGTCGTTTTGAGTATCGCGCAGTCACTGAAATATTGGAGATTAGTTTCCATGGCTACCAACGGAGGGAAACTGGATTATTTTATACTGTTTTTAGAGGACAAAAGATGCGAGCTCTTTGAATCTCCATGCAGGGAAGCAGCAGCTTCTCTTTGGCAGTGAGATTTTCATATCAGGAATTTTGTAACCTTTATTAACATCAGTGCTGAAGGTGCCCAGCAAGAGGTAGACTCTGAAACCAGAGAATTTAGAAGTCTAAAAGCCAGAATCCCCGCAGGGACAGAAAAGAGCATGGTGTGTGTTTGGTTGTATCTAAGTAAGTGCTTGTGACAGGTCAGCACAAGATATTTGATTCTCTGCAATCTCGCTCCTTAATTTGATCTTCATGAGGTTAGGATGGTATTTTCCATTTATGTCTGTTTACCTTTAATAAAGACGAAGAGATAAGGATATTGAGGCCCTGGCCTTTGCCATTATCATCTAATTCTGCCCTACAGATCACTCTACCAATATCTTATCCTATGAACGCTCTGACAGGCCAGCATATCATCTGTCGCCCTTTTCAGGGATCTGTGTGAGGATGGATTTGCTTCAGGAACCTCAGAACTCCAAAGAAGAGAACTGCTCCCAGCGTTTTAAATTCATGTAACTTACTTCGTTAGTCTATTTCTTTGCATGGGCTGCATAAGAGCACATGTAAGAGATCTTACTGCTGGTAATTAGCACAAAACAAGACAGCAATACTTTTAAAAACTTTTGAAAGCTCACCTTTGAAACATTTTATTGGATTATAATAATCACACAGAAAAGTGCTTATAAGTGAACATCTCAGTGATTTTCACAAACTGAACCTGCCTGTGCCCCCAGCATCCAGTTTGAGCAACAGAGTACCAGCCAGCCCAAGTGGCTGAGTGGAGATTTTCATCTGGAGAGCTGATCAGAATGGTTTGCTCAAACCGGTGTTTCTCAAACTGCTGGTAGCACACAAAATAGTTTTAGGCACCTCATGGACAAACAATGTTTATTTTCATTGTCATCTATTTAGTTTAATATGTTAGAACCTCTACATCTAATCCATACTTGTACAGATATTACATAGGATAAGCCTAATATAAGTATTTAAAATTTAAAAGTGAGTTGAATTAGTGAAAAAGTTAAATTAATAATAGCACAGGCAACATGCAGATATGTCAAACATTATAAAAATGCTTTGCCTGAAAATGACTGAAATTTGCAATATAATGGGATAGATAATCCATTCTCCCTGGTAGTCTCCCACCATCTCTCTTGGAATCCTGCCAGAAACTTCCATCAGGTCAACCCACATCTCCCTTTGCCCCTCTTTACCCTGCAGCCGTAGTGCAAACCCTTTTAAAAAGCAAAACATACATGAGTAGCCAGCAAATTAAAGAGAAGGGACTAGCCTTGTCAAACATGAAAACAGTTTTAACTCTACAGTAACTAAAGCAGCAATAAAACAGAAGTAGACAAATCAAAGAAAAAGAATTAAGTCCATAAATAGGTATAAATGCACATGGCAACTGAGTATTTGATGAAGGGAGCATTTCAAATCCATAAGGAAAAGGTGGGGTTTTTAGGAAAAGGTGGAGTTTTTAGCAAAATGGTCTTAGAATAATTGGCCACACACTGGGGGAGGAGAGTAAAAAAGGCTAGATTCTTCACCTCACTCCTGACAGCAAAATGATTTCTAGGTGGATCAAAGGTTTGAAAGTAAAAAACCCAATCATAAAAATACTGGAATAGGAAATGAGTGACATAGATACACACATAGACAGAGATATCTAGAGATCTTGGACTAGGGATGATCTAAGAATGACACAAAACGTGAAAATCATAAAGGAAAAATTTGATAAAATTGAATTCCTGGAAATATTAAACTTCTGTGGGCAAAGAATATTTAAGATCACAAACAAGGTCAAAACTAGGAAAAATACTGGGAACACAGTATAAGAGACTTTCTCTTCAACAAACAGAATTTTACAAATCATTAGAAAAACAAATAGAAAAATTGTCAAAGAACATGAATAGTTAAGAAAAAATATATATATATATATAAATGGCTAATAAGCATGAAATTATGTACAACTGCACTCAAACATAAAGAATTGCAATTTGTGAGAGTAAATAAACTTCAATTTACTTAAATAAGATACTCTTTGATGTTTGGGGTTTGTTTTTATTTCTTGATTTGTGTGTTTTGGAGCGTGGTAAAAAGTTGGAGCGTGGTGCTGGCAAGGTTGCAAGAGGTGAGCGCTCTGATTGACTCTCAGCAGGAAGGTAAGTCGACGAAGCCTTTCTCAGGGCAATTTGGCAACCTTCTCAAAATTGTGAAAGTTTATCTTCTTTGCCCCAACGACTCATCCATTCTCCAACTGAGACTGAGCATCGCCTACAACTGGGGCTACAGTAGTGAACCAGAGGTGGAGGGTCTCCTGCTCTCACAGTGCTCGCGGCTAGTGAGGGTGACAGGCAGACAAGGTAATTGCAAATAGTGAGAAGTGCTCTGGGGTAATAAAGGATGACGTGCTAGTGCCTGGGGTGGGCGCTCGAGACTGGGTGGTCTGAGAAAGACTCTGAAGAAGCGGCATTTGAGCTGAGAGCTGCAGGATTCACAAGAACCAGCCGCACAAAGGAGCATCCAGGCAAACGGATCAGCATGTGCAAAATTAGTGCCAAACAGCCTGGAATGAGCTCATAGTGTCCGGGCAGAAGGAAGTCCCACGAGCCGGAGCACAGTGCACGGAGGGCAGGGGTGGGTGAATTTCAGACGCAGGCTGAGGCCTTTTAAGCCGGGATAAGGAAGTTGAATTTTATTCTAAAAGCAATGGAAAATGATAGGGAGGATTCCAAGCAAGAGAATAAGAAGATATTCATGGAAATTTAGTGTGTATTCAAAACACTGGTAAACATCGAATTACCTAAATATTTAATAAATAGGGAGATTCCCCACTTCACACTATAACAAGTATAAATTGCAGATGGATTAAAGAACTAAATGTGAAAAATAAGACTATAAAAGTTGCAGATAACAATTTTGGTAAGTATTGTTATAATCTTTGCATGCGGAAAGCCTTCCTAAAATAGTAATGCAAAACAATAAAAGATTGAGTTTTGACTACATGCAAATAAAAAACTTAGAGTGAGAGATATCATAAATATGTGATAATGGCATTGTGGTTTTGTAAGAGAATGTCTTTATTTTTTAGAGATGTATACTGAAGAATTTAGGGTAAAATGTCTTAATGTCTGTAATTGACTTTAAAATACTTCAACAGAAACAAGATAAAGTGGATATGACAAAATGTTAAAGTTACCAAAAATCTAGTTGATGAGTATACGGAAGATCACTATTCTTTCTACTTTTCTATGTATGAGATTTTTATAATAAAAAAAATTTTTAAAAGAAAGAAAAAACAATGTTGAAAGATAGCAGACAAACTTGAAGGAAAATTTGCTCAGATATTAACAAACGAGAGTTTAATGTCATCATATATGAAGAGCTTCTGTAAATGAAAGCTAAAATGACGAATAGGAAAGTGAGCTAAGAGTATGCACAGGTATCTCACAAAAGAAATGTAAATTGTCAATAAATATGAATAGCCACTAGAAGTACGTCATACAGAAATGCAGTTTTTAAAAGGTGTCGCCATTTTTCTTTTTTTTTTTTTTTGAGGAAGACTAGCCCTGACTAACATCTGCTGCCATCCTCCTCTTTTTGCTGAGGAAGACTGGCCCTGAGCTAACATCTGTGCCCATCTTCCTCTACTTTATATGTGGGATGCCTACCACAGCATGGCTTGCCAAGCGGTGCCATGTCCGCACCCGGGATCTGAACCGTTGAACCCTGGGCCACCGAAGCAGAACGTGCACTCTTAGCCACTGTGCCACTGGGCCGGCCCCGGTGTCACCATTTTTAAATTTATATGATTCGCCAAAAATTGAAACGATCAACCCTGTCTAGTGATGACAAAGATGTGGGGACATGGACACTCTAAAATGAAAGCATGGGACCAGCCCTGTGGCCGAGTGGTTACAGTTCTGCATGCTCTGCTTTGGCGGCCCAGGTTTTCGGGTTTGGATCCCAGGTGCAGACCCACTCCACTCATCAGCCACACTGTGGAGGCGTCCCACATACAAAGTAGAGGAAGACTGGCACAGATGTTAGCTCAGGGCTGATCTTCCTCAAGCGAAAAAAAAAGGAGGGTTGGCAACAAATGTTAGCTCAGGGCAAACCTTCCTCATAACAAATAAAAATTAAAAAATAAAAGCATG